AAATCAAAGCTGGCTTGCAGCGTGCAAAGAAAGTGGTGTCCGATAACCCAGAGCTAGTGGATTTTGCTGTCCGGCGAGTGAATTCTGTTTTTAACCTGCCCGATGGGCAAGTGTATTTTTCTGGGGGAAATTCAAATTAAAGAAGAACTGTAATCAATCCTGCTCATCAAATTTTGGGGGCGCTAATTGAAATGACTTTCGGGCTAGTACATGGCAACTACAGCTTGCCCGAATGGCAAGCTGTAAAACTGACTTTCTTTGCACCCTGCTTGGATAAATATTTTTGTCAACTCTAAATTTGAGACCTCCAAATATAGACTGTCCACGAATTTAGTTTATTGGCACAAGGATTCTTATGACATGCATAGCTCAACCAACCATGCATAAATTCCATAGCAACAGTTACATTTGACAACATTATACTGTATGCATGGCCATTTTCCCTCTTTAATGCATAGAGTTTGAACATTTCACCTTTCAATAGAAATTTACTTGCATTACTGTCCTTTGTCTTTTAACAGCAGACGATAGGAAGTTTACCTCACTTGATGGGCTTCGCCTCCACCTAAACACATTGCATTTGCCAAAGAGACTGCGATGTGAGCACTGTGATTATATCACAAATAGTTCAACGCACCTCAAGAGGCATGCAAAAAGACAGCACGAAATGGCCAATCTGCACGTCAAGCGGTGGAAGCACGAGCAATAGAGAGATTAGGAACCACCCGATGGCAAACGTGAAATTGTAAATCGAGTTTTCACCTTTATTCCTCTTTTTTTGCTCAAAAGTGCTACGAAATTTTTGGTAGCCTCCCATAAGTATGATCCCTAGAATTTAGTGCACTTTAAACCTGCACTTTAAATCATCGAAAAAATCATCGAACAGTACTCTGACAGTGCTAGCCTGATAACTCCTGGTAGGTATATGAGTTTGAAGTTGCACATGCGAATAGAAGAAAGATACGGACTATGATTACTACGTACTTCACGTTGAGAAACACAGGTTTTTTAGGGACAACACACTATCATTTGCTTAAAACAGCAGAACTCAAAAAGCTTATCAATATTGCTCAGCTTTACACGTACTTTTCTGTCCATTTTGGTTCATAGAGGAAAAGCCACCAAACCCCCTGCAGAATGGCAATTACGCCAAGAAAAAATATCCCTTTTAATTTCTCTCAGCTAAGGACGGCAATAGCTCATAAATATAAGCTCTCAAAATAGACTATTATATGGTTCCATATAAATGCCTCACATCTCCACAAAAGACCGTCAGTGCATTCAGACCACCACAACATGAGCCAACACGATGGGATAAACAAGAGGCAATTAAAACACGGTACCACAAAAAGAAACAAAACATTTATCCCTTGGAATACCATAGAAAACCATTACATACAACATCAACAATCCATACCAACCACGCAAGGCACCTGAGCCAACATTTCAATCATGACAGTTATATATAAACAAGACGTAAAAACATCTCAACACAAACCGTGACAAAAATTTCAAATAAAAGTTTCCTTTTTCTTCTATTTTGATCTATGCAACTATTCAATTCTCCTTCTCATGTTAACATCAAGTAATTTTCTTACCCTCCAAATTTACCATTGTCGTCTGTCCATTTTGATGCATAAAGGAAAATCCACCAAACCCCCGCAGAATGGCAAGCCTAAAAGCCACGGCCACTCAAGCATTCTGTAGAGTACAGCCACTGACTCCTCCAAAACCAACAAGTTATAAGGTCAGACTCTTGCTACAGTCTCAATTTTAATTGGCCACAGGGGGAATTCTGATCTGGCAAATTAATGATTAGATTTATTTCTACTCAAGTCATGGTGATGATTTGGAATCGATAGGAATTGCTAACTTTGCTGTTATCTTACTCTTAAATTACAGAAAACAACAAGGACACTATTGTCATGATATCTTGGCCATGTTGGCAGAATGGGACGAAGAGATCCCCGAAGATGTGGCCCACCTGGACATAAGGTCCACGACCTGGTTGGTACCAGAAACGGCAAGAAATGTGAAGTGGTACAGTCATTTGTACACACTATCAATTAGTTCACTCCAACATACAAATACAGCAATAAAAAAATTGATATTTCATTTATAGTCCACTTAAAAAAAACACCAGCTGCTAAAAGTGTATCTTAAATCAATTATGTTGCAAACTTGAAAAGTAACTGATCGTGTTCACAAAAAGAAATCATTGTCCTTGACAGGATTTTTTTAACCCTTTTACAGAAAAGTAACAATTGCCACACAATTACCTTGTTTACCAACTGAAGTCAATCATAGATGCCAGAAACCTGTATCTGGTATGGCACCAGGACAACCATCCAGGGCAACCCGCAAAGCTTCCACCGACACCGTTAGACATAAAGGCTTTCTGCATGTCATGTGACAGAACAGGATTCTCCTTTACCAGAATAACAAATTACATTTTTGGGAGTCTCTGCATGTTCATGGGTAGGTGTTATTTCATCATCAA